CTGGGACAGTGCAGGCGTGTCAATTACTGGTACTAGTCATCAGGGCGACGGGAGGCCCTGGGTCATCAGCTAGCCCATTTACTGTCTGGTTTTTGTTTATGGTAGAGTCAGGGACAGGCACCACACCTGCGTTCCCAGGGCATCAAAGGCTGACTGCCTTTCTCTTGCTCTCTGGGGGGGGGGGGGGGGAGGGAAACAAGATGGGGTTCATGTCTGGCTACAATCACATCCTCTCTCAAAAAGTTCCATAGGTTGACTGTGCGCTGAGTGAAGAAAAACTTCCTTTTGTTTGTTTTAAACCTGCTGCCTATTAATTTCATTTGGTGACCCCTAGTTCTTATATTGTGGGAATAAGTAAATAATTTTTCCTTACTCACTTTTTCCACAGTAGTCATGATTTAATAGACCTCTATTGTATACCCCCTTAGTCTCCTCTTTTCTAAGATGAAAAGTCCAAGTCTTTTTAATCTCTCTTCATATGGGACCTGTTCCAAACCCCTAATCTTTTTTCCCCCCTTTTATGAACCTTTTCCAAGGCCAATATATGTTTTTTGAGATGAGACAACCACATCTGTATGTAGTATTCAAAATGTGGGCATACCATGGTTTTATATAGAGACCATAAGATATTTTCTGTCTTATTTTCTATCCCTTTTTTAATGATTCCTAACATTCGATTTGGTTTTTTGACCGGCACTGCACACTGAGTGGATGTTTTCAGAGGACTATCTACAATTACTCCAAAGATCTCTCTGTTGAGTAGTTGTAGCCAAATTAGTTCCCATCATATTGTATATATAGTTGGGATTATTTTTTCCAATGTGCATTACTTTACATTTATCAACATTAAATTTCATTTGCCATTTTTTTGCCCAATCATTCAGTTTGGTGAGATCTTTTTGAAGCTCTTCACAGTCTGCTTTGGTCTTACTTATCTTGAGCAGTTTGCTATTATCTGCAAATTTTGCCATCTCCCTGTTTACCCATTTTGCCAGATCATTTATAAATAAGTTGAATAGGATCTGTCCCAGAACAGACCCTTGGGAATCCCACTAGTTACCTCTCTCCACTCTGAAAACTTACCATTTATTCCTACCGTTTGATTCCTGTCTTTTAGCCAATTATCCATCCACGAAAGGACCTTTCCTCTTATCCCATGACAACTTAATTTACTTAAGAGCCTTTGGTGAGGGACCGTGTCAAAGGCTTTCTGGAAATCTAAGTATACTATAACACCTGGATTCCCCTCGTTCACATGTTGGTTGATCCCCTCTAAGAACTCTAGGCATGATTTCCCTTTACAGAAACCATGCTGATTTTCCCTCAGCAAATTATGTTTATCCATGTATCTGACAATTTTATTCTTTACTATAGTTTCAACTAATTTTCCCGGTACTGATGTTAGACTTACTGGTCTGTAATTGCCAGGATCGCCCCTACAGCCCTTTTTACATATTGGCGTCACATTAGCTATCTTCCAGTTATTAGATGCAGAAACCGATTGAAAGGATGGGTTACAAACCACAGTTAATAATTCCACAATTTCCCATTTGAGTTTTTTCAGAACTCTTGGGTGAATGCCGTCTGGTCCCAGTGACTTGTTCTTGTTAAGTTTATCAGTTTGTTCCATAACCTCCTCTAATGACACCTCAATCTGGGACAATTCCTCAGATTTGTAACCTAAAAATAATGTCTCAGGTTTGGGAATCTCCCCAATATCCTTAGCCGTGAAGACTGAAGCAAAGAATTTAATTTAGTTTCTCTGCGCTGACTTTATTATCTTTGAGTGCTCCTTTAGCATCTCAATCATCCAAGGGCCCCGCTGTTTGTTTAGCTGATTTCCTGCTTCTGATGTACTTAAAAAACATTTTACTATTACTTTTTGAGTTTTTGGCTAGCTTTCTTCAAACACCTTTGTGGCTTTTCTTATTATATTTTCCACTTAATTTGTCAAAGTTTATGGTCTTTTCTATTTTCCTTATTAGGATTTGACTTCCACTTTTTAAAAGATGTCTTTTTATCTGTCACTGCTTCTTTTATCTGGTTGTTAAGCCACGGTGGCACTTTTTTGGTTCTTTTACTGTGTTTTTTAATTTGGGGCATACATTTAAGTTGGGCCTCTATTATGGTGTCTTTGAAAAGTTTCCATGCAGCTTGCAGAGATTTTACTGTTGTCACTGTACCTTTTAATTTCTGTTTAACTAACTTCCACATTTTTGAGTAGTTCCTCTTTCTGAAATTAAATGCTACAGTGTTGGGCTGCTGAGGTGTTTTTCCCATCGCAGGGATGTTAAGTTTTATTATATTATGGTCACTATTCCCAAGTGGTCCAGTTATATTTTCCTCTTGAACCAGATCCTACACTCCACTTAGGACTAAATCAAAAATAGCCTCTCCCCTTGTGGGTTCCAGAACTGGCTGCTGATTTAAGGTATCAAGACATTTTATCTCTGCATCCTGTCCTGAGGTGACGTATACCCAGTCAATTTGGGGATAGTTTAAATCCCCCACTATTATCGAGTTTTTTAATTTGATAGTCTCTCTAATCTCTTTTAGCATTTCATAGTCACTATCACTGTCCTACAGGTGGTCGATAATATATCCCTACTGCTATATTCTTATTATCGGAACATGGAATTACTATCCATAGAGATTATATGGAACATTTTGACTCATTTAAGATTTAAGTATTTTGATGGGAGGATCTAATGGCCAACCCCCAGAGATGGATTTTACATGAGTAGTAATAACCATTACATGAAAATAATGTGGGATTATTCCCTTAAACACAACTATTATTAATTTAATTTACATGGACTCCCTTATTTCATGCCACATAGAAAGGGCAGAATAAGCCACTTTTAAAATATTTATTTCAAAAGGTTCTATACCACACTGTAAAAGAAACAGCTGCTATTTCATAAGAACAGTTATTATCTCCTTCCTCTCAAAATGTGATAACTGTAGTTTCAAAATAGTCAAAAACATGCCTTCTGAAATTATCCAAGAGCACAGATTAATTTTTAATCATTTCCTGCTCTAGTATTATTACAGTTTGTCTACATACTATGCACAGAACATGAGATTTACCTCACTACCTTTAACAGATTCTAGGTCTGTATCCCAGATGTTTATTAATTCTCACTAGTTTTCCACAATTCAGTCGCATTGATGCTTCTCCTAAATGCCATTACAATAATTATGTTTATTTTACTTTATATAATATGAAGAAATGCTAAGTAGCATCTCAGGAAGCCTTGAAATGTATAAACAAAGTGTTCATATTTTCTGATCTTGGTGTTTGTATTTGCAGTGCATGCATTGGGTCCCAGGATCCTTACTGTGGCTGGGACATGGTGATGAAGAAATGCACAACACTAGAAGAAAGTCTGAGCATGAGTCAGTGGGAGCAAAGCATCACTGTGTGTCCAGTAAGTCCAAGAAAATTCACTGACCTCTTGACGTTCTTGAGTTCATGTGACTCTCATGTAAACTGGTCAATGTAAGATTTCTCAGGCTCAGAACATAATTGGACAGAAATTGTACGCATTGCTTCAGGCCTTTCTGCTCAGATGTGGACTATAAATGTCTTTGTTGTTCAGTTTGTTGCCAACTAATTTGCAGTATGTACAAGAAATTGTTTGCAGTTTTACAAGGAGCAGTCGGCTTTCTTCCCCCACGGTGCACATTCCCACTTTGAAGATGAATATTCAGAGACAAATTGCCATCAAATGTTTTCCTTCCAGAAATTTCCCCCTACTTTGCACTGTAAAGCCAGATTCTAATAGCTAGAGATGGAATCTTGCCCCTTGCGATTGTTATTGCTAATTTAAAAAACTCTCATAACAGTTCACAAAGATTACTAATTGAAAAAGTGCTATCTTTCCAGAGACAAAAAGTAGATTGCTTGGTTGCAGAAAACCCCCACACATTATAAGAAGTATATACATTTTAATTTCATGTGCGATGGAGTTGATACACTCTCTCCTGTTTAGTCTAGTCTCAACATTTTAATATCATACTCAAAATATGGAATGAACTAATCTAAAAAGAAATATTTTGTTATGTAAAGTGCAGTTAGCTTTATCGGTGCAGATGGTGTTTCATAAATGAGGAAAATTACCTTCCCCAAGGACTTTGTAAACTAATGGCCAGATTCTGATTCCCCTATACTTGCTGAATAATACCAGGCTCTGAAATAGTCCCATTGCATTCAGTGAGATTATTCCTGCAATAGGTACCACTTAGCATCAGGGTGTTAGAATGTTTCTGCAAATTAGATTGGTAGCATAATTGGAGTGGACACCCAATCACACAAATCTCAGGAAAAGGTTTGCAAAGTATGTTTTACAAAGAATCCAGACAATGCTATTTCAGATATGCTCAAGTTCAAGAACAAGAGTAGACAATATAGAAATGGGAATTTTAAAGGAAATCAAGCATCAGAAGAACTAGAAGAATGTGAAAACACCTTGCCTGGAAGAAGGGGACTGTTAAGGCATAGAAGAGGCTACAATTGGTACTGATTCTTGAGTATAGAGAAGAAAACCAAAGGACCAGTGAAGCAAGGTGTTCATACAGACAGTACGGAGCAAGAGAAGGAGTAGAAGGAAATGAGAACTAAGATGTAAGCAAGAAAAGAACCACATGAATGTAAGAAAGATGAGTCTGAACTTGATATGCAGTCAAAGAGCCAGTGGAGGGATTAGTAGAGCAGAGGGGCAGTAAGAGATAATAATTTTGTCTGAAATGATTTGGATAGAATAGAGAGGGGAAAAGAAAGGAGGAGAGATTATGATAGTCAGCGTTAAAAATAATTGGTGCTTAAGGCAGGGGGATACCAGTCAGAACACAGAGCAGAAGTCAGGTTTTAGACATGTTGCAAAGAAAGAATGAGAAGATTTTTTCAAGATCCTGGATGTTGTGAAGTTCAAACTGGCCACATGCCTGGGTAGCAGGGAAAAATTGAAAAGGTTTGGGAGAGGAGAGTGACTTGAAGGACAGGTGATGAATATAGAAATAAAGTCATCTTTGAACTTGGATGAAAAATGACTGTCTCCCAGGGCTCCCCAAATGTGTTTTGTGTGCTCTGTGCGGAGGTCTTCTCTAAAGCATTTAGTTTTGACTTGAAAAGGTTAAGCCACTGTTGAACAAACTTCTGTCTACCATCCAAAACGCAGTGACCACTTATGGGAGGAGAGGGGAGAAGCCACTTGGCCTTTGTCTACACTAGGATTTTATTTCAAAATAACTCTCCCAACGTTGAATTTATAAGCCGTGCCTCCACACTACCAAGCCTGTTATTGCGGAATTGAAACTCTGTACTCCTGCTTTTCATCAGGAGAAATGCTAATTCTAAAATAGTTATCTTGAAATAATGATAGAATGGATGCTATCCTACAGCTGTAGCTCTGACCTCTAAGGTCACACCAGTTT